TTCCTGCTTTATTTTTCTCTGTAGAAACTCTCAGCTCAAACTATTCCCACCCTGTGAAAAATCATGCACCATTCACAGCTGCTCAGTAAGCAAACCTGTTTTATGTACTTGTGAACTAATATAAGCAGTAATTATTACATCAATATTAGAAAAAGATACAGGTATTGGTGTTTGATAATGGCTTGCAAATGGTTTCTATGCTGTTGAGTGAACTATAACTTACACTCCCAATAGGCACTGAAATGAAGGATAATCCTCAGGTATTCTGTGTACCATTGTTAACAAATGGCAACAAAAGTTTGTGTTTGTAAGGGCTATTTTTATAAGCATTTGTTCATTCATTCATTTATCTTCAGCCTCATTAAAAATTAGCATAATAAGCAGATAAAGTGGAGTGCAGGTTGGTCAGTTTTACTCCTGACTTCAGCAAGTAGCAAGAATTTGAACCTGACTTTCCCCATACTCGATGATACAGAGTCAACGCACAGCTACAAAGATGTGCATCACTGAAAAATCGCCTTTCCCTGTGGAGCCGCCCTTTTACATCATTCACAAGCTCTTTGTGATGGAATAACCAGAAACCAGATTCTGATTTCTGTTACAGTGGCCTAATTTACTTGTCATCAATGCAGTGACTTTAGGTTTACCTCACTGTAACGGAGATCAGTCTTGGCTAAATACTCAATATATGTATGCACATAAACGTAATACTGTGAGAACAACACTAAAATTGTCATGTGTTTATTTCCATTTGTAGCTTGCACAGTAAATTTATTGCAATGATAAGCGTTTTTTCTCGTGTCCTCACTTTATTTTCACCTTTGTTCTTCAAGAAGGTTATTGATTTCTCTCTTCTTCAAATGCCGTATGATCTGGCAAGTCAAAGGGCATCATTTCAATGGTGAGGAGCGGATCAAGACATAACCCTGAATAGCAGAACTAAAGAAACGCCATTTCTGGGTGAGCTTGTTGTCGCATTAGCAGTGCTGTTGTACGTGAAGAACCCCAAACCCTCTTCATGGACTAGTGTCAAAGGCAGTTGGTGTGAAGAAATGCCTACCTGAAGACGGCAAGGCTCAGGGACCAGAGCACTAGTGGTTTCCTCAGTTCAAATTTTGCTCGTTTGTTCATTAGGTGCCGACCACCAAATATAAAGGCAGCATACAGAGCTGAAAATAGGAATGATTTCTTCCTGCAAAACAAAACAAACAAACAAAAAAAAAAACTGTCAAGTATTAAATTAGTATTAGATACACAGCAGAGTCACATCTGGACATAACTGCCAAGGGCTCGTGCGCTTCCTTGAAAGGAAACTCTTTTGAAGACATTCCCGCAGCCCAGCTGAGACTATGGTTAGTTTATGAACCCCCATGCCTGCACACGGGGCCAGGGCCGGGCGCAGGCAAAACCGACCCCGAGGAATTGCTGGAAAAGGACAGCCAAATTTGGCTCCCATTCTTCCCCAGTTCCCGAAGGCTGAACTTGTGTGAGGAAAAGAACAGATATTGCGGAGCCCAGACACACTTCTGCAAGCACAACATGGCGGATACTTGAACCAGCTGATCACATTTTGTGGCTCATTTATCTTTTTCGATATCAACTTTTGTTTCCTGCAGGCTCCTTGCTAACTGGCAATTTACTTTCCCATTGTTTCCTCCGAGAAGACACTCAAAGATCTTGAGTGATGCAACACAACATGAAGAGCCTCACAGAAAGTGGAGAACCAGCAAGGAGACGTCAACAGCCCCATTAAGCAGCGACCAGGCTGTGTGGCATCGCCCTGCTGTCCGAGCCCTGCCTGCAAGCGCCAGTTCAGGAAATGCAGTGAATTTGCTGAAAGGTCAAGCAGGGCTGTGTTACGGAGTTCCAACGACAGTCTTAGAATCGCAAGTTTTATTTTTAAAACTGTCTGATAGTAGTCCAGCTCAGCAATAATCAGCAAACATTTGAACTCTGCTGCTATAACTCATTGTAAATCAACCAGTAGAGGTCAAAAATAGATTCAGCCTGGGATTCCTTCCCACATAGCACAATATTACACTAAGACTTAATGATGTACAGCATTAATGGTGGCCTAACTAGATGGGCGTATATTTAGGAACAGATTTTTCTCTACAAAATCTATAATTGTATTCACAACTATCAGTGGACTATGGCTTTGCACCAAGAGGTGCTGGTTCTTTTTGGACTGCAAAAAAGACAGGCAAACACTCTCGAGAAAGGTAACTACTTCATTAATATCCCAGAAAAGGCAGCACCAAGCTATGAGATCTTATGTTCCTTCTGGAGCTGGAACCCTGAGATGATACAGCATCAGACAGACCTAGGATCAGGGCACCGCACGCTGTCCAGACTTCCCATCGGGGGTAAGGTTCACCCCCATTACAGTCTTTGGAGTTTTTATATGATTTTCAATTGGATGTTTATATGAAAGTACATTGCTTCACCTCAAGATAAAAGTCAAGGACATGCTCACGGTGTCACTACTGGTGCCAAGTAGGTGCCACCTTCAGGCTCTTCCATTACAATTAGCCGGCTAAGGGTACCCCATGGCAAGGGATATGTGCAGCACAGCACGGTCCTAAGGCCAAGCAAGACATGCCGCACCGCACGGCACAGCACAGCACGTGTCTGCACCTGCTCAACTGGTACGTGGATCACGAGCTCCTCGATGGACAAGGGTCTTCCGTGAGGTCCACAAAAACTAAAAACAGCTGTAGCAGCACATCTGATTGGAGGTCTGAAGAAAGCACATGTAGCCTTCACTGGAGGTAAATGAGTTTTATGGGAGTTTGAAAGCTAAGTAAAAGTGAAGTCCAAAGAGACAGAGGCATATCAGTATGCGTGCAGCAGCACCCTATTTTCTGCCCTCTTAGAAACTCCTCTGTTTCTATTAACATGTTTATAGCTCTCTGTTGCAAAACAAAGGTAACTGCATGAAAATCTAACTGGTGCTCTGCACTGAGAAGGGAGGAGCCGGTGCCTGTAGCCCCCTGGGTGAGCTTTAGCATCAGTGCTGGCAACAAGACCCAGGAAGACCAAGAGCCAGCACCCTCTTACCTCGCACACTGAGATGGTGTAATTGCCATGGCAGTGTTTATCACAACAGGGTTTTGAAAACCACAAAGCCTCGGCCCTTATTCATCTCATAATAAAGAAAAAAGCATTCATTTTCATTTCTATGGTCTTGAATTTCACAGTAAGGGAAGGGGCAGAATGAGCACATTTGCACGCATGACCACTGCACGACTGCAGTTGAGCTTGGCTGGAGGCCAGTAAATATTTGTTAACCAGTCTGGGTAGTGACGAACCACCTCAAACTTGCTCATATCGAACCACCTAACTGTTAGGACAAGATTTATGGGTTCTGGGACAGGAGCAGACTCTCAGTGTGAGGTTGGACCACGTTCCCACCTCCTTACCTCTGCAGCCTCTTCAGCAGCGGTGTGCAGAGCAGCCCATCGCCAACCTGGGCACGGGCGAGGGAAGGCAGAGGGAGTGTGATGGGCTGTACCACAGTCTGCAGTGCTGTCATGGCTGCCCCAGGGCATTGGGAGAGGCATCCACCCTGCATTGCTTTTGCCCCTTCAATCCCACAAAAGTCTGGGTGCTCAGTGCTCAGCGTAGACATCTAGCAATGCATAAAAGGAGGTATGGAGATATACATACGCATGTATGGCCACTTGAGCCAGGCCACGTGCAGGGGTCCCACAGGAAGGACGCTGCAGCCCCACGCCATGAAGGAGATGCAAACCCCCCACCTCACGGCACAGCAGTGGGGGTCCTTGACGCCAGAGGCAGGAAAGGTCTGTCTTGCACTGGTCCATGCATGGACCTCTAAGGCAACCGAGAGCAGCGCAGGATGACATCTCGGTGCAGTGGAAAAGACTGCAACGCAGTGCTGCCACGCAGCTGCCAACAGGACGCAGACTATGTGGGCTGGCACAGGAGGAGGTCAGGATTTAAGAGCAGGAGCTGGAGATACTTCATGGGAAGGCAGGCAGGCAGGCAGCACTTCAGTTCTGGATCAAATTCAGCCAAGACTTGAAAGTAATGGTTCGACTTCAGTTTCAATTCAAGAAAAAAAGACCAGTCTGAATGAGTTAGCAGCTCAGGTCTGTGCTCTGTTTGACTCCCTCATCCTGGGCAAGATACTCTATATATTTACACCAGGTAACATATCATTTTGCTTCATATTACTGAAACTATTTTTTGTAAGTCCAATCAGTCTATTGAGGTCAACAGTTACATTATACTAATTAGAACAGATACATTTTAGGTCAATTTTAACAGCTTTGCAATGAGTTCAGCATTATTTGCAGTGATGGTAAAGGGTATTCCTGCAGTATATAGCTTTGTATTGGCAGTGGCAGACACGAGAAGATTTGACTGCATGCATGATGTGAACTGCAGAGAGCAGCTGTAAGCAGTTTCAGGCAAGGAGGGACGCAGTAGCATTATCTCCTATCAGAGATAAGCACAATACTGAATAACGATTAGGCTGATTTTGAGGTCATCTCTCTGTTTTGACAACTTTTGATAACTTGTTGCATCCAAAGGACTTTGAATTTTCCCTTCTTTGCAGCATAATATTGGTTAAAAGGACCGGGTAGTCCAGGTGATATAGTTATAAAGGGGTTGCAGAGGTATGTACTCTTAAGATAATCTGTTTAACTGCATTAGACTGGTATTAACCAGCTTCCTACCAGTGTTTTTATGATGGATTTTCCTGAAAGGTTCATGACTACAGTCCGGTTCCTGGGCTGGTGACACAAAGCAATGGCAATCTGACAGCATTCAGTGATATCTGATATGGTTTTAGCCAAAGGAGGCTAATATCAAATGAGCATTTTTAAAGACAGAGTTTTGGAATTGTTCTGGAGTGCTGTAACTTTTCATTACTATTATGTGAAGACAAACTAAATAGAGCAGAACAATGACAAAAAAATTAACCTTGAAACTACAAAAAATAAAAAATCCCCCAAAGTAATTCAGGAGCAGATATGCATCCGATAACTTCAACGTTAGCGCATTCATATGTTTGTCACCAATTCTGTTCTGCAGGGTAACACAGTAGACATAAAGACAGAGCTGCCAAATCCTCCACATTTTTCTGGCATTTCTGTTTCTCACAGTTGTCTCCCACCTTCCTACATTTTCAGACTTCAGGGACTAAGTACTATCTCTACTGAATACAACTCCATGTTTCCCTGACAAAAGTTGCCAGCTCTTTCCCCAAAAGGGAGATGGGATTTTTCTGAAGAACCTATAAAATGCTCTTTTCAGGCTGTGGGTGACTACGAGAAATGGAGGCAAGAGTTTGGGGCTACAGGCTAAAGATGTGAGGCAGATCCTCTGGGACGCTAGCACAGAGCTGGCTGTATCATGAGGCAAGGGAACGGGCAGAAGCAGCTGACACGATGGGAGAAACAGAAGAGAAAGGATGCACGGTAAGCATGGCAGCAAACGAGGGGACCTGGCGGCCAAGAGATGAACGTGAAGCTGGGACAGCATGGAAGCGAAGGAGGCTTGAAGTCCTTTCTCTGCTTAAGCCCCTGGAGGGATGC